TATATGAATGTGTGTGTGTGTGTGCGCGCGTGAGTGTGTGTGTGTGTGAGATTTGATAGTATCTCGATATATGGGCTTCAATCTAATTCATGAACTATACCTCTTAAAGCAGATCGATTTGATTTAGCTTCGATTCGATGCACTCACATATCAAATCAAAACCAATTTTCCAGTAGAAATCGATTTTCGTGACACTCATAAGATGTGGACATTGAAGAGGGGGGGTCGTTTGATGTTAAAACACGGATCCATCAAGTATCACACGCCATCTTGCCCAAAGTTGGGTTTCCCCCTTATGCAGAAGTGATCAAATAAGTTTCCTTATACTTGCAGAAAAGACAAAACTCATGGTGGGTCATGTTCTGTTGTGGTTAACATTCGTCGTCTTGGCCCTCTACAGCTCGGCAACAGTGACGCTTATCATTCAAAAGAAGGTAACTTACACTCCACAGTAAGTCGCTTTTGACGTTCTGACAGAACAATGACAGAACAAATACACAGTTTGTAACCTCATGTGTCTGTGTGGATTTCAGTATGGCCTTAACATATGCAACTGTAGACAAATCTACAAAAGTGACGAGGTCAGTTCTTTTCTGTTTTTACGTGTTTGTCATTTGGGAGCTTTCATGTGTGAATAATTCAGAGTAAAGGTTTTAAGGGGGAAAAAACAGAACAGGAAGCAATGTTTGTGTTACACCACCACTTGTTTTCACTAAGGCGACATTTGCAAGATGTTCACAGCGGCCGCGGCGATGGATAGAACAGGATGGTCGTGAGAAAATGTACAGGGGGGAGGGAAACGGGTGAGCAAGCATGACAGGCCGTGATTGCCCGACAGATTTTTAAGGTCTCGTTTGCCATAGGAGACCCAGAGCAGATGAGGAACCGAGTCGGTCAGAGTAAAACAGCGTGCATGCAACGAAAGATGACAGTATGTTAGTTTGACAAATCATAATGTGGAGGTGGTCTGTTGTGTGATGCTAAGCATATTTATTTCCCATGATCTCACACTCGCCGCCCATAGCTGTTCAAAAACTAAGCCACGTTTCATCCACCTACAAGTTATTGTTACAGTTTGTGGTTTTAAGTCTCAAAAATGCCCATTCATCATGGCATGCAAGTATTAAAGTGCCTAGTTGTGATAAAATGGCCCAGAGAACGCTGTCCAGCTTCAAGAAAACAGCAGCGCTAGCAATACTAAGCTAGCATTACTAAGCTAGCATTAGCACTGTAAACAAGCCGCTGTTTGCCACAGCCATTGTTAGCATGACTTCCAGTATTCGTAACATACTGTTACTCTCACACTCATCAGTTTGAAGTGTTTTCTTGGAGAGTCGGGACGGGGTGGACAATCAACTACAAATCAGAAAGTGTTAATGAATTTAACGTTGAACACAAATATTGCAAATTCCGTAACGCCTCTGAATCCTCGGCTGATCCAAGTTTCCTTGGTTGGCATGTTGTTGCTCTGCCAATTTGCCCATGCTGGTTTCTCATAAGTCAAATTACAGACAGAATATGGGGCCAAATAACTTTTTTTTTCCAAAGATTATTCTGTGAACATACTTTGGGTTTTTGTTTTAATTATTGCAAACTCCTTTATTGGGCAGTGTGTATGACAATAACAGGCTCTTTTGTAAGTTTTTAGTTTAGTTTTAGAGATGGAATTGTGAATTTGTTGACAGCGTTAACAAATATTTATGAATAAATTAAGTCATTTATTTCAAAGAGCAAATTCCAAACACTGACTCCAAAGCCGGGACCAGGCCCAGCAAGGGAGCTTCATTCAACTTTGTTGGTGCCAAATGTGTTCCCCGAGAGCCCCTCTCCAGCCTGTTTTAGATGTTTCATTTGAATCAAGTGTATTAGAAGACACCAAAAAAAAAAAAAAGGTCTGGAGATGGGCTCTCCGGTGTACATGTGACTTAAGCGCAATAAAACACACCTCATCACGCATTTATTTCCTTTGGCTGTGAAGCAGAAAAACACAAACAAAAGCAGGATATTCCGCGATGTGCTGCAAGAGATGCATCACAGACGGGACGTGAGGAGAAGCAAACAGACGGCGAAAAGAAACCCTGCGCCGCTTGAGGTACACTTTTCTTGTGTCAAGCATGTGAGTTATGCACACTATTCTAATGAGACTTTTTCATGCCATTCTGTTTCACAGGTGACAGCTGCCGAGTTAAATCGTGCACCTGATGACATTTATCAAAATGTGTAAGAAGGCGGCGCGTGCTGTACAGTATTTTTTGTTTTTTTGACCCCTATCGATCTGCATTGGACTGGAGACGAAAATAACACTGTACAATGCATTTCTAGGGCTGGGAGATGTCATGACAATTAGTGGATGTGGCAAGACAGAAAGTAGATAGACTTTCTAATTTCACTTTCATACACGAACATGACACCTTAATAGAGCAGTTGCAAAACATGGGAGCATTGGAGCCAGTCTGCCATTAACATAAAATGTCAGAGGAAGTCTCGTGTTTATATTTGATAATTGCTGAGGACAAAAGTTTTGTTTTCACTTCTCCTCAAATAGTTCCCTGGGAATGGAGACATAACATTTAAAGTTAAAGCTGGAAGCCAATGTTTCAATCGCATACCGTATTGGCCCGAATATAAGACGACCCTGATTATAAGACGACCCCCTTTTTTTCAAGACTCAAGTTTGAAAAAATACTTTTTGAACACCAAAATAATTTTTATACAGAAAATAATTACAGTACATCTGAAACAAATGATTATAACAATATATTTGAGAGAAAAAGCATGTTATTTTGCCTCATTCAAATCTAAAGTGCAATCACATTCGTAAATGAATGGCTTCTGGTTTTTGAAATGTAAATTACATCATAACTTCTCCTCAGCTGCTGGTTAACCTGGACGATCTTCGACCCATTTTTCTCCAGATTGTCACTACGTTTCTCCATTTTCTGTTATCTCTTCTATTATTTTCTTCTCTTTTCCTTCTGACCACTATTTTTTATTTTTCTTCTTCGTGCTACCGCTATTTTTATTTTTATTCTTCGTGGCAGGGGCTCACTTTGGCCTTGGGAGTCAAGTTCAACATTCGCTTCAATGATATCTGGCGCCATCTAGCGTCATGAATGGGTATAATGTCTAGACACCGAATATAAGACGACCCCCACCTTTTCAGTCTTATTTCAATGCAAAAAACACCGTCTTATATTCGGGCCAATACGGTATTTTGACTGTTCATTTGAAAAACCTCATACTTGTAGACTTCATTGTACCTATGTCAGCAGGAAGAGAGTGCCACTGTCGGGAGAAACGCAAGCAAAGACGTGAAGAGTAACCTATTTTTTAATAAAAGACTAAACCCAACTTGTGCTCGTCATTTGGCCGGACAGTTGATCATTCTACATGTCAAACAAGGCACATTACATTAGATTATCCAGTACGGAACCGCAATGGACTAAGTGTACGAGGCACACTGGGAAACCCTCATTAGGCACAACCAAGGCATAGAAAACAATAAAAACCAGCATTTGCTTACAGTCCTTATAAAAATGGAATCATTTCAAACATCGAAATACAGTAGTTGTTTAGTTGCATTTTTCTGAGATATACAGGTACAGTAAATGGATACGATTAATCATCTTATGGAAGGAAACACACACACACACACACACACACACACACACACACACACACACACACACACACACACACACACACACACACACACACACACACACACAAGCAACCGGCAGAACCTGTTGACTTGTTGTTGACATGCCCTAATTATATCGGCTGTTGAAAATCAAGATTTTCCCCGAACTGTGAAAAGGAAAGAACAAAAAAGGATTGAGCATGGAACGGATTAACGCCAAAAGTTTTTTTTTTTTTTTTTTGCCCTGACAGAAGGTGAAGCTGCCCACCAATATGAGCGAAACAGTGAATTAACCGTATCAAGAAATATCAAGCTGACGCTTGGGTACACTAACTAGCATGTGCTTGAATGCACAAAGTCGAAACCATTTGTATGGAAACGACCAAAGAAGCTTTCCAACAAATTGTTTCCTGTTTGTTTTCTGAGTCCGGCCTCTTTATTTGACTTTTATCATACAATGGTTAACTTCTCTTGGCGCTTGTATGACAGTCCGAAATGTTAAAATGTTACCTAAAACGCTGCCTGTACAGTCAAAGGTTTTAAGATGAGCTTGGAATGAAGGAATTCCGTTTACCTGATGTCCTGTTTTGAACTTAGAACAAATTGGAAGCCAGCGAGCATCAACGGAATGGTTTGGACTGCAAATCATAAGGCTCATTAATAAGCCAACTGGTTCAACTGTCACAAAAGTCAACAGACTTACCCTTTTATTTAGTTTTCTTCTCAAACATTTGATCTAACTCAAATGTTGGATATGTATCATTTTTAAGAGTCGCACATCTTCACAAGAAGATAAATGACAGGTTCCCCATCATTATAACCTGGGACGATCTTGAAAATACTCATTTACAATAGCCGGTGATCATCAATTCTCCGCGATTATTTGGCCAAATTGAGGAGAGCCCTCTTCCTCTGAATTGTTTCTAGCTGTCAATGTACTTGCTGTCCACAGTGTGACTGTTCCGAATGGAGAAGGGCCTCCAAGCCAGGACCTGAACGGCAGCCACGCACATGGGCACCACACACACCAAGTAGAACATGACGCTGTGGAGGCTCTCCAAGGCTCTGCAAAGGAGACAGGCTTCAATTTGTGCGCATGGTTAGTTATACACATTTGTAGCGTATTTTTCTGCGCTATAAGGTGCACCGTCAATGAATGGCCTATTTTAAAAAGGTTTTCGTATATAGGGCGCACTGCATTATAAGGCGCATAGAAGCTACAATCGTGGCTGCAGTTGCTATATGCATCCACTAGATGGAGCTACACTTAAGGGAATACAATACAGCTTTATTTATATAAAGCCTTCACAACCGCTGCAGCTGTAAAAAAAAAAAAAAAAAGCCATTAGAACTGGTCACAAACACGGACATGAAACGTAAGTACAAATGGCATTACAAAACAATAAATGAAAGGCTAAAGTTATGAAGACGAATTGATTCAACAAAAAGGAAAACAAACATCGTGGAATCACGTTCACAAGGAGCTAAATATCCTTCGAGGGGTTGCTTGGCTCCTTCTTCCTTCGTTTAGTCAGTAGTTGACTATGCTTTTAGTATTATCTGCGTTTCATTATGGCTGCGCAGATCTCACAAAGTAGCTATTTGAGTGTGTTGGGGAATGCAGATGTCACTTAGTGCACGGCAGAACCCTTTTAGGTTACAATTGGTTGCTGCTAATAATCACCACTACATGGCATCGGAACACACTAACAGGGAAACAACTCAATGGGGAATAGAAAGAGACTGTGACAACATATATAAGGCACATCGGATTATAGGGCGCACTGTCGGCTTTTGGGAAAATTGAATGCTTTTAGGTGCGCCTTATAGTGCAGGAAATACGGTCGTTGGAACATATACTTCGCCCACTGTGAATGCTCAAGTAAATCCATTATTAAATGGACACATAATTATACATAGTGTGGAATAATCAGATCATTTACAAGCACATTGTGTATTCTCAAAATCCTAATTTCAGCCTCTTGTCGTCTGTGCTCAAAAGGGAGATCGGTGTGTGTGAGGTCCTTTAAAAATTAACATTTCTTGGTGCTTGATCGTTTCATGGTCAACTGGACTGAACGTTTCTCAAAGGGCTTGCAACCTGCTCATTTGGTTTTGTACCGGATGTGATTTAGAAGTTTTAACTGTCAAGCTAAATAACTCCACCAGCATCTGAGAAAATTATACAAGCAAAATGAGCAGGACTTGTGTGAGAAATTTCAAGTCACTTGCTTTTATGGGCTGGGTTGTCAAAACTGTTCAATTTTTTGCTCAAACCCAAAGACCAAAGTTTGGAGACTTGTTTGAGAAATTTCCAGTCAAGTAGATTTAAGAAGTTCTTGGCCTTTAATAATTGTAACTTTCAGGTCGAATTGCATTGCCACCCTCTGGCAAAAATTCTACAGACATAATCTCATTTGTCGATGATATTTAGCTCGAGGGAGGGTCTTGTACTGCCAAATTTAACTATTTGTAACTCCACTGCCACTCCATCTGACCACAAAATGATTTTTTTTTGGAGAGGACGCTCACCGGTGTGAGAACTTTGGCCTTTAAATTGTGCATTTTTTTCTGCTATACAGCAGTAGCACATGCAGTGAAATTCTACAATTTCAAGTTTTTGATGACATTGACCTAGACTTGCGTGAGAAAACGCAGTACAATTTATAGCATGGAGTGTTTTCCGGTCAAACATTGTGAAATTTTCAGAAAGCCAACACTGCACATTCATCATTAAATACACAATAAACATAACTCGAGGGAGAATCACAATAACCACAAGCACTCTTATTAGCTTCAAGTGTTTGTTTAAAACTTGGAGGGGCAAGACGCTGTATTTACCTTGGATTTACGTCCCTTCCAGCATCCTTCAGTTGCTCATAGCCAAACTGGTTGAGAATGTTAATCACTAACATTGGGGCCAGAGACTGAGCAGGTTTGGTGAACAGGGCGTTGGTCCCAAACACCATTGACGAGATAGGGGCGCTGCAAACATACCATACCGATTGTCATTTGGAAACTGTGTAACTGCGAATGGAAGCATGTGCGGCCCGGTGGTGAGCGCATCGACCTCACGGTGCAGAGGTCATGGGTTCAATCCCAGCTCCGGCCTCCCTGTGTGGGGTTAGCATGTTCTCCCCGGGCCTGCGTTGGTTTTCTCCGGGTACTCCGGTCTCCTCCCACATCCAAAAACATGCATGGCAGGCTGATTGAACACTCCAAATTGTCCCTCGTGTGAGTGTGAGCGCGGATGGTTGTTCATCTCTGTGTGCCCTGCAATTGGCAATTGATTCAGGGTGCCCCCCACCTGTTGCCCGAAGACAGCTGGGATAGGCTCCAGCACGCCCCCCGACCCTTGTGAGGATGAAGCGGTTCAGAAAATGGATGGATGGATGGATGGATGGAAGCATGTCATCAAGTACAACACTTAACTGAGTTCACAAAACATGATGTAGAAAAAGTACTAGGGAGTAATTCAAAATCAATTTTGTAAAAAGTAGGAACTAAGTAAGTTAAAAAAATAAAAATAACTGAAAGTTAGAATGAATTCTAAATAAATTGGCCTGATAAAATAAACTGAAATTTGTATGCACCCATCAATTTTCTGATCCGATTATCCTCACAAGGGTCGCGGGTGTGGTGGAGCCGATCCCAGCCGTCTTTGTGCAGTTGGGGTACAACCTGAACTGGTCACCAGCCAATCGCAGGGCGCACTTAGACAAACAACAACCATTCACACCTCAGGACAATATAGTGTCCAATTAACCTCCTATACATGTTTTTGTAATATGGGAGGAAACCGGAGTACCCAGAGAAATCCCACGCAGGCATGGGGAGAACATGCAAACTCCACACACAAACGCCAAGCCCGGAATTGAACTCTGTACTGTGAGGCGGACGTTATAACCAGCTGTTCACTGGGCCGCCCCCGAAACAGTTTATTTGAATTTATATTAATTTATTAAAATTCCTTCATTACAAGTGGGACTAAATATTAGTAAACAAACAAAAGAAAAAAATTATAAATAAGTAGGGTTACATGGACCAGAAACTTTACACCCTTTTGAAAAGTGCAGCACTGTAAGTACAAGCGCATTACAAGAATGATAAATTGGTTAGTAAGTTCCACCAAAGCCAACATATTGGAGTTTTTATTTTAACTTTGCAAATCATTAACATATGGATTCCTCAAGGTAAACAATTACAGAAAAGAAGTCCGACAGAGATGGACCCAGGCCCTTTAAAACTGCGAGTTGCAACTTGACCATGGCAAATGATCCAATTTCGTCAATAATCAAATGCTCTTCCACTGTCACCACATTGATTGGTAGTGTGGAATGAGATTTTTTTTCCCTTGTCAAAATCATTACTTTTCAGGAAATCAAAACGATCTTGCTGTTAACCTGTATCACACTACCGGGCGCATAGCAGCCTCTTGTTTACCTGCGCTTGTATTTCTGCATGTCGGTGTCGATGATATCTGCGAGAGGCAAGCCGAACAGACTGAAGGTTGCTTGCACCATGACCCTGTCGAGAAGACGACAATTTATTAGCAAGTAAACATTTTCATGGATTTAAAAAAAAAAAAGGATTGAAAACTAGTCGACTCTCTTACATGCTCAGGGTGAGGAATAAAGCCAGAATTCGATAATTCTGAGCACCAAGCGCGAGCATAAAAGCCCCCATCAAGACCTCCAGGTAGAAGGTGTACAGGATGATTCTGTAGTAGCCAAGGCTGTGAAGAAGTCTGTCACAGCTCAACACCAACAACTGGGGTGGACGTAAAATTATCTTAAAATTAAAATAACACTCAGATATAAAAAAAAATTATCCTGTAAGCGCTTAAGCTCCAACCTGAGGACAAATGAATCCCGCGCCGTACATGATGCTCCTGGCCATTGGTGAAAGCATATCAGGAGGAATCAAGTGCTCGGCAAATATCAGAGTAAAATTACTGAAGAAGGCCAGCATAAAGACCTGGAAAAAGTTCATCAACACAAAGAGCCGGAAGTCCCTGTTGATGAGGATTTGCCACGTCAGCGTTTTCAGTGAGGGGGTCGAACACGTCGAGCGGTGTGAGGTGGGGTCGTCAAAATCGTCTGACGCTTTGTCGTCAAACTGGCTCTGGCTGCGGAAGCCCGTGTAGAGCATGCAGACGCAACTTATAATGGCGACGATCACGGCAAAGGCCTGAAAGGCTGGGAAGTCCTCCATGTTTTTGGACAGCATGCCACAGAAGAGCACGCTTGACGAACCCAGCATCGACGCCACCTGGGAAATCGCAAATAAACCATCAGGCACATGCCGGTTCCCGGTTTCAAGAAATACCTTCGTTTTAAAAAAGGGAAAGGCTAGGTTTTGAATAAAATGTAAATATGTGAATTTGCAAAGGAACAAGTGTGGAATTTCTCTGACATTGGCAAAATGTGTTTCAAGACGTTTTTCCTTCAACCAAAGCATCAATTGTCTCAAAATCACTATATCATGATATTGTCGCCCCCCGCCCCCAGTATATATACAGTATATCTACATACATATCATGAAAATATCATATCCCTCCACTGACTGTACCTGGTTGTACTTGATGAGTCTCAGTCGGTTCTGATGGTGGCTGGAAATCTCAGCGAACAGGGCACACTGAGCCAGCAGCACAAAAGTGAGCAAGCCATCGAAGGCGCATAATGCAACCATCAAGTGGACGGTGCATAGCCAGTCGCCAGGGGTGTAGGCTCGCCACGGGAACCAGGCGATGAGGAAGGCCAACGAGTAGAGGGGGGCACCGTACAGAATGGAGAGACGTCGCTGAGAGCAGCACGCCACCTTGGAATTGTCTTGCAGGTATCCGAAGAGGGGGTCGTTGATGGCGTTCCACAGCATGTAAACCACCTGTGGAAAGGCACAACGTATTTGGAATGCGATCGAGATAAACATATTGACACAAGGCGTGTATGCATATTGGCATTAATGCACTTGTGACACTCACTTGGGATTGGTGGAAAGCTCCCTCGGCTATCCGGTACTTGTTGAGGAAGAGCTTCACGTAATAGAAGTTGAATAGGTTGTTGATCATAATAGATCCCAAAGTGGTCATGGAATAAGCCAGAGCCACCGGGTTGAGCGCCAAGTTGACCGAATGTCGCGGCAGCTTCATAACGCCTCGCATACCTTTCGCTTCCGCGCCCAGGTAACACTCTCCAGTCCAAACTGTCAATTATCGGTGCGACTCACCTTTGATTCCGCATTGTTCAGTTTTTAGCGATACAAAGTACGGAAAGGTAACCGAAAGAGTGTAGTGCGTTCGTGGCTGGTTGTGTCAGGTGGTTCTTCCGCCCTTGTAGGGATTGTGAAGAAGCAACTTTGCATCTTGAACAACAATCATTTTCTCAAGAAGGCGGTACTTAAATTTGGCCTGCGTGTTGATTGGACGAAACTCATAGTTGTTTTACTCGGACTGGTCCTCACGAATACCGGAAACCGGAAGTTACAAACAACGTTTTATTTTAAAACTTGCACAACTTCTATAACTCACTAACTAGTTATGATTAAAATTTTGACTCGGGATTTTTTGTGGCTCTGGATTTTTTAAAATGTTTATTTTCTTGCGGCTGGCAAACTGTAAGAGTCAAAAAACACAAGGAGGCAGGGCTTAAACTAGCGTTGTTTCATCCTGATTGGTCCGTAAGAATACGGAAATAAGGCACTTTTCGGAAACAACTTTTAACTCATTCATCCCAAAGACATATTTATGTCTTTTCACACTCAACACGTTCAACCCCAGATACTTATTTTTTTCAATTTTTTTCAAGACTAGAATTGGCTGGTACTGAATGAAATTGAAATTATTAATTATGATTCAAATATATACCGTACTTTGATAACTTATTGTTCTCTCAAAAGAAAATGTGTCCCAGAGCGTAGTTTTCATGAAAATGTTGACTACATTTTATTCACGTTTGCGTCCCGATTGAGCCATATGAATACAGTACACGGAAACTATCTATCTATTCATCTATCGAGCGATCTAATTTTTGTAATTTACCATTTGTCCCCCGTAAAAATACTTTTGTGATATTTATTTTGACTGCTTTATATTTATAGTATAAAAGTTATTTTCTATCGGGTGCCACCTGGCGGCTGTTGGTATGTATTCGCGACATGCCACGTGGCTGTAGTCAACACAAGGGCGGATGTAACTGCGATGTAGTTTGGCAGTAGGGCGGGGAGAGAGCAGCTGGCAATTTCGGAACAACGTGAAGCCGAATAACACTTGAGGGGGCTCTTCGTTCTCGTCAGGTGCTGCGGCCGTCGCTCGTACAAATGCTAACTGAAGGGATTCTGGAGGACGATTTTGACAAAAATGGAGATGCGTGGTGCGCTCAACGGGACCTCGAGCACGGTAAGAGCTGTTGCACCCTACAACTCACCGTTTATTAAACTTTATTGAGTTAAGGTACACGTTGTAGTTTTTTTAGGGGGATAATAATCACGCGGGCCACCAAACAAAAATGTCACAAGGGGTGGATGCAGTACACCGGTTATAATTGTGTACCTTCTGCCATCTTGTGGAAAAGCAAAGCAAATTACAGTAAAATTGTTCGTCTTGACACTTTTCGTCGTTGGAATAAATAGTCCATTTTCAGGAAATTCCTCCGAATTTGAGTTAAGTGTTCCACGCTACCGGAGCAATAACCGCCGTGGTCAAAACAAAACAAAACTACAGGATTTCCTTAGATTTCACAATTTTACAGTACTTTTAGTTTATAGACGCTTTAAAGAGTTGAGAATTGTTGGTGGTGCGGATTAAGTGCATTCGCACAATTGGAGAAAATGTTTACTGCCAGCAAGAGTTGAACAAATTAATTTGGATGTTTTCTGTATTGTTTTTTTTTTTGTTGGATACGTGACAAATAAAGGGTTTATTAGATTATATGTAACATTACATAAAGTGGTTCAGATAATAAATGGGGGGATATGTTATTGTGGGTGTAGTAAGTGGACTGAATGATGTTGCACTTTCTTTTAGGAGGTGCTTATTTTTATGATATCACAGACTATACTAAACATTTTAATCCTCCCAGAGGATTTATGGTGTTGCATTAGTTGGATTTAGGTGATCTGACCAATGTACAGATTGAGAGGACTAGGCAGGCACATTTGTATTTAGAGCAGGGGTCAGGGCAAGTATCATTACATTTACATTATTAGGAGACATCTCGTTTGCATTGATTTAGCCATTTTAGTAAAAAAAAAATTTAAGACAAGAAATCCTTCATTAGTCTCGCAATGGAGAAATTCCCAATTCACAGCAGCAAAGTAGAAGAACAAAATATAGGAGCTGCTGGAAAGGCAGCCACTCTCGCGGCGCCATCTTGAAGTCAAAATAACAAAATAACGCAACACATAAGACACAGACGGTCGTGCAATCTTTTGAAATGTGTTTTTTTTTTTCGGGTTGTATTTATTAATCCCCTCAAATCACCGATTTATTTTAAATAATACGATGAAAATATTCATAAAATCAATCATGTTACATTGAAATTGTTTTGAATCAGTTTAAGTGTATGAAATGAATTGGCAAATTAAAGTATTTTCAGTTCTTATTTTAATGATATCAACAATTTCACATATATTGTGATCTGATCTCACTGCACAGTTTGATTTGGCGAAATGTACCATCTGTACTTTTATAGCAATAAATTACATATGTATTGCGCTTTTTTCCCTCAATACCTAAAGGTGCTTAACATTGGGGCACACCAACAAAGAAACTTGTTAAAATAAAAAACCTGAACCCTCAGTGGATATAAGAAGACTTCCCTCCATCGAAAGAGGAGCCACCGCTAGCTTGCAGGCTTGAGAAGGAGGCACATGTCCCAGCCAGCGAGTGTTAACCTCAGCGAGAAAGAGGTGAAAGTCCCCCCCGGGTTCCACCTTCGGTACTGTCAGCTTCATGGTCGAATGTTTCCCTATAAATCGCCTTCCCTTTCTTGCTTTTTAGCATGCTCTCTTTCATCTGTGTGACTACACAGCCTTCTTTATATTCAACATGGATCCCGCTCCCCAAAATGGCCTCCACATCCCACAATGCAATGCAGTCCCCAGAGTGTAGAGGACTGTATGAATAAAGCTAAAATGTTACACAGTGACGTGCTAACAAACACTTTGCTATTTTTTCGTGATCAAGTGTGTTGTCACTTATTTCACTTGTATTTTTTTTTAAATGTGGCCGTTAACCACAAAGTTTGGCCACCATTGACCCAGAGGATAAGACAGAATTTTCCCAAACTCTATAAAGACATTGAAAAGCATCCGCAGCGGCAAAGGAAATGGCGTCGCATGCCTTACATTCCACTGATTCATCCGTGAGTGGCAACAGGATGCGTGGTTGTTGTCCTCTGTTTTGACGGGTTCAAGTAGTATGTTTCCCCGTTTTTTTTTTGGGACAGATCTCCATTTGGCCGCCAAGCTCGGCAAAACACTCCTGGACCGCAACCGCGAGCTGGAGCAGGCGCTGCAGCAGATGTACTCCACCAACCAAGAGCATTTGCTGGAAATAGAGGTGACACACACAAACATAGGCGTGCGCACACAAAACTAAGCAATAAAACATGCTGATGTCATGGCACAGTCAAGGAACATTTCCACCCTTATTTGGTCTATTTTGGTCAGCGGTTCCATTGTCTCACATTTTGGTCTCGCATACCCACAAAGTCTCGAGAAAATGATTTGACTCCAAGTTGTCTGATGAGGCAAATCAAGGAAAAAGAGCGCTAATTTGTTTATGGCCGTGTGCGAGCTTCAGGATTTCTTTTTGGTTGCTATTGTAACCCTTATGTATCTCTCAAATGCTCATCCTTCACGAATGACCTTCTGAAGGCTTTGCGTACACGTGTGCACTTGAGCATGTTGGTGTGAGAAACCGAATCATTTCCTGTGCTGATGCTAAATTGTTGGGTAGAGCCAGAACAAAAAAACAAGATTTTTTTTGTGTGCAGCTTCTGAGCTTGAGGTTGAACCCTAACGGAATTGAACGCTAAACGCCTTCCCTGTGTTGTTCACCAGTATTTGGCCAAGCAAGTGGAGCTGCTGCGTCACATGAACGACCAGCATGCCAAAGTTTATGAGCAGCTGGACCTGTCCACCAAGGAGCTGGAGCGGGGCAACAAGAGGCTAGTGCAGGACGACCGCCTGGCCCAGAACAAGATCAACAGGTCAGGCTACCGCAATTTTATGAAGTCAGATACAGGAAGTGGGCGATATACAATCGATGACAAAAATTAAAACAATAAAACCACTCAAAAAAAATCCTCCAAAGTCATTAATCACGTTACAGTGATCCCTCGCTATATAGCGCTTCTTTTGTCGCGGCTTCAGTACATTGCAGTTCTTTTTTTCCCACAGTACTATATTGAGAAAAAAAATAGAGAATGACTCTGAGGTTTTGTACATGCCCGTACGCATGATTGTTTTCCCGGCTCAACGTCGTCAACGAATGGATTTATCCCATGAGCTGATTGGCTGCGCAACTTCGCAGCCCCGCCCAGCACCTTCCCTTGCGTCTCGTCACGCTGTTGACTCTCGTTCACCTGCCTCTCTCTGGCATACTTTCTTCTGCTGTGCTTGCCACGTACGCGGGGGGTGATTGGGCTTGCAGCACGCCTCTCTTCGTCCTCCTCATCAGTACCGATTGCCTCCGCAGTTTTTCACTTATCATGGCCAGGTCCCGGTCTCCATCAACCGCGATAAGTGAGGGAACACTGTACACTGATTTTCATTTCGTGAAATATAGCGTTCATTCATCAGTGAAATGAACAATAGTTTTGGAACACTACTCATTGTACTTTCTCTCTGTCTCTTTCCAGTCTGACCGAGTCCATCGATGGGCTTCAAACGCACATGGAGGGTCTGCAGAAGCAGGTGGAGGCGCTCACGTCTGCCCAGTCGGAGCGGAACAAACAAGAGCAGCGGCGCCACCTCAGCGCACAGAGCGTTTCCTGTCTTAAGGGGCTCTATGACTTGCACCAAGACAGGTGCAGTGAAGCGTAGTTTATCACCCTCGATGCTTTCCACACACACCCACCTTTCTCTCTGTTTTCACGACTCAGGTGTGTAGCTAATAGGCGACAAATAGAGGGACCACTGTCGCCGCAGGGATCCGTGTACGACCGAAACCGACGCCAAGACCCAGAAGAGGAACACGAGATCCTCCTCCGCTCAGTCCAAACTCTCCAGGCTCAGCTGGCAGCAGAAAAGATCCGTCGTGAGGCTGCGGAACGCGAGAGCGAGCTCACGGCCAACGACAAGGAAGGCCTGGAGCAGCGGCTCCACATGTTGGTGGGTTGCAGGACCAGGCAGATGGAGCTGGAGGCCCAAGTCGAGCAACTGAGACTCATGTGGCTCGCCGACTGCACGGCCAGGTGCATAAATCCCATTTCTTGCCAACATTCGATTTTATTTTGGGGGCCAGGGGGGCGCTGTGAATTTCCATGTCCATTTCAATTATCACCTGCTATGTTAATGTTGATGGAACACGTGTACAATTGAGTATCCACAAATTTGATTGGCTGGATCGATCAGCGGGTATTTAGCATTTCATTCAAAATCAGTCATCAGTTGATCAATGACGTTATTGACTGGATCTGCAAAATAAGACATCACAGCAAACACAAGCTCGCTGACGCCAGGCACGTTCTGTGCTGTCATCATTAATAATGCAAGGTTTCTATTTTTTTAAATATAAAAAAAAAATCTGTAAAAAATTTGTAATTATTTTGGGGAGTTGTTGGGGTTTCCATCCAATTTCCGTATATGAAATATTTATCAGCGTTTTTAGGAGAAGTTTCAGAATATATTATTATTATTTTTCCAATGCATTTCACTTGGCCTCAATGATAGGGAAATTTGGGGTATTTATGGGCTGGGACGGTCTCAGTCTTCCAAGAATAATGGGGGACAACTGCAAAGTAAATCAACACGTCCTGATTGCGTGAAGCCATGTGCAGACAACGAAACTGCAGAAGCATCAACACCAGGCAGGCAGCACAGAAATTAAAAGTAAAAATGTGTTTTATGTTTTTGTTTTTTTACACAGTAACACCCACCAACATAAGACAAAGATAATGGCATTCAAAATCAATTCATATCCCCCCCCCCAAAAAAAAAAATTGGCCAATTTGTTTGTTTCTGGCCAATTTTTCTGTCTGTTGTCTCGTTAAACAAATACTAAAGGAATAAGTAATGTAAAAACACTCAAATGTTCTAACTGTAATTCATAGCTCTAATGTTGTAAATGTTCAGGGACTAAAATATAAGTAATTTTATTCTTTACACATTTTTTAATGAATCGGAATTTTATTCTGCCAAATGATGGTTTTGGCATCTGCCTCAAAAAATCCATATCAGTGGGGCCATCAATCAAGCAAGGAACTGCAGACCGTTTTGGATACTGATTTTCTGTTTCTGTCGGATCCTTCCCAAAGCAGGAAGCCAGACCAACTACTTCTTCCTGACTCGGTGTTCTACACTTCAGACGATAAACTCGAAGCGGATATAGGCGAGTCTGAGGAGACGGGCGAGGAGACGGCTGAGGACCGGGAGAAGGACCGTCAGCAGCAGAGATCTAACAGCACAGCAAGCGCATCGGATGATCACGACAAGATGTGTGTAAGGCGAGCGGAGGTGGTGAAGCAGAGGGGCATCTTGCTGCTCAACGAGGTGGACGCGCAGTACAATGCGCTGCAGGTTCGTATCAGTTGCGAATGTGTTGACACAAAGTTGAAAGGCAAAGTTGAGCGCGGCCGGTTGTTCGTCTATGTGTGTGCCCTCCGATTGGCTGGCAACCAGTTCACGGTGTACCCCGCCTTCTGCCCGAAGACAGCTGGGTAGGCTCCCAGCACGCCCCGCCACCCTTGTGAGGATAAGCGGATGAGAAAATGGATGGATGGATGGATGGATCGGGATATTTCTAACTCGCTTTTTTTTTTCCTGAGGCCAAAGCAATAAAAGTACTGCTTTGCTGTCATATTGGTGCCAATGAACTATGTTGACGTGAGTCGAGGCACTTCATTTACACAAATGTACTGCGTTGCTGCCATCTTGTGGCATCTGGAAAGATACCAATAGACAATTGTAAAACATATTGAGGGTGCGAGTTACTTGTGGATTTTCATTCCTGGTGGTAAGGCACAGTCCCTATCCCCTGTAAACAAGACATCAACATGCTTGTGCTTTTAAGAGGCGGGGTCTGATGGGTGGCATGTGAAATCAGCCAGTCTTTGTGTAAGTACTGCGGCTGACAGCAGCTTCCGCTTGAGTGTGCTTACTGTGTATTAGTGCACTGCTGCTCTCCTTTCCCAACATGTGATGGCATAACAGTCAGGAAATATACTGTAAAAGTCCATAAAACGCATTTTGGAAACTCATTAGATTGAGCGAGTGTACCTAAAGAATTGGCCAGTGAAATACATGCATGTTTTTTTTAGGTGAAATATGACCAGCTGCTACAGCGGTGTCAGCAGGCGAGCGCGGGGCTCACTCACAAGTCCGTCCAGACATCCTGCAGTCCGTCCACGAGCGTTCGCCCTCGCTGCCGCCTCTCCGGCTTGGCGAGACAACCCTCGCTGGTGTCTGAGGAGCCAGAGTACAAAGTCCTCTTTAAGGAGATTTTCACCCGCATCCAGAAGACCAAAGAAGACCTGCACGAGAACAAACTTGTCAGCGACTCGTCCACCATGTGATTGTATCAGTCCTCATCCTGGAATGTTGTGCACTTTGTGTGCTTTTTCTTTGAAACTACCCTGGTGCTTAATGCTTATTGAACATTGTGCCAAGTTTCTATTCAAATGCTACTATGCTTTAGTCAGTAGTCAGCACTGATCCTTTTGTTTAGTCTTTTTTTCCCCTCAATTACTTGAATTATGGACAGTATTTAAAAAAAAAAAAAACATTTTTGAACCTACTTCCTATCAACTCCTCCAAAGGCCATATACTGTGTGTGTGTGTGTGTGTGTATATATATATATATATATATATATATATATCATAAACCTGACATAAAAAATATTATTACATATAATAAGAATTTGTTATAGTTTGTAACTTGTGGTGCTTGTTATAATAGTTCCACTGAGGTTTTATTTGATTTTATGTCTCCACACCGGATTTAGTCATCAAAAGTATTTCAATGCGTAGCTGCTAATCCGCAGGCATTACGATCATGCATAACGGTTTAAAGATGTGATGTGTGACTTACATGTAAAGAAATGTTGGAATGTTATAATAGGATCAAAAATTAGTTAGGCTGATTGTGATAATTATTGTAATGCTTTTTTGAAAGAGTGAAATACTTTGGAACAAGAACACAGCGCTTTGCACTTTTGTTATTTATTTTTGACGAATTCTGAGTTTATTTATGATTTTGTTGCTAGCTTGGAGAGTTGACCAATTGAAATGCTGACATTTCTGATTGAAAACATCCCAGATGTAAATAAAAAAACTTGATCACTCCTTTTGTCTGTTTAAAAAAAAAAAATTAATACACTTGGCTGGCAGTAGTTTTATGCCAAAATTAAATAAAACTTGTCAATAATTTTAATCTTATTGTGTCAAGAGAATGTGCTGTATTCATAATAAATAGAACCACGCGGGAATTATTTGACATCATAACCTCACGAAAACACATCCCCGTTTGCTTCAAATTTGAACAAATTGATTTTGCTGCCCTACGCTCCTTTTTATGGTGAGAAGTTGACAAAAAAAAGACAGACAAGCTCTTAAAATTCCCGATACTGTCGACATTTTTTGCAGTAAAATGGCGCCCTCCTTCGACAGCCTGTAAAAACACAGCGAAAGAAGCGCCCGAAACAAAACCCTCAGCTGTGTTTTTTTTAATGAGCAAAAAAAGGTCATTACAATCTACAGTCTTTGAGTGTTTCACTCGAAATTTGTACAAAATTGACAAGTCACAATTTTATTTATTTAAAGGGGCTAGTTGGCTCGGTTAAATTATTTTATTCAACGTATTTTTATTTGAATTAATTTAATAAAAATGTCACTGCGGGAATAAAATGTATGAATTAAATTCCAAATAAATTAAAATGTGAACAAAAAAAAAATCAAAGAATGACACATTTTCAAAAGGCTTTGAAAAAGATAAAAATGAAAACTCTAACTTACGTATGTTCAGGAAGCAAAACTGAAGCACTTGATCACATTAGACTGTGGCCACCGATGACGAATTTTATTGTGTGTACATTCGGTGAGCACACTTACAAACATGCGCGTTCAACAGTCACCTTCAAGCAATGGCTGTCTCCAGATTGTACAATGTTACTAGTCAGCCAGCGTGCTCCTTACACAGCATGCAGCTCAACAAGACTAGCAGCGGGGCCAGAGCCACCATCAGCAACAGCAGTACCACATGGGGTCTGTGCAGCCCGGGGGTCCAGTGGACGCCGGCAGAACCGGAGTGAGCCTGGCGGGATTTGAGGTACTGCTCCACACAATCCGCCAGGTTGTACGATTTGGGACAGTATCCAAGCTCTCTACGGGCCTTGTCTATCTTGAAGGTGTGGCTTACCGCTATGTTCCTCACCTGTGCACAATCAACACACACATAAGTCATGTGTACAGTCACGTTCGAATTTATTTTCCCACTGTGGCTCAGCGGCAGCTGAATGTTTTATTTACGGGGACTATCATCGATCGCGCTGACCGCTGGCAGCTGTCTGGCGGAATGAGCTGCAGGTGCGGTGGCGCAAGTTCAGCTTTGGTTTCGGCTTCATTACACATTCATGAGGACGACCTTTTGAGCCGTGACTGAACCTCTTTAAAATGGATGCCGAGTCTTCTCCCCTCCTTCCTGATCCCTCAGTGGGATTACTGCAAAGTTTATTACAAGTTTTCATGCAAGTTCATGTTTTAAAGCCTTAAAAAAAAACATGGCTGTAAAAAGTGGGGAAATTATTTCTGCTTGTATTTTCTTTGTCGACAGAGTCCTGGGCATTAAATGGGCATATTTTTAAAAATTGTGCCTATAATATAAATATGCACACAACATTTGTAGCCACAAAATACTGAATTTATGGAACAAAATAGATCAAAGGTGTGTAAAAAATACTTCATTGTGGCCACGAAATATACGGTACCTATTTCTGGTCACTGCGATGGCACTTTGGCTTGCGCCTACTTACTCCACCTCTTCATAACACCATTATGTCATATTTATCGTCAATAATATTCTACAAAAGTGCAACATACCAGCGCACAACTGTGCCAGTTCAGAATCAATATGTCGTAAATAACTTGAGAAAAATTTAAAATATTTCAATATAATACACCATATTCACAGAAATGCTCATTCTTAATTGTATTAATGGATTAAGAAAAACATTTATTGATTGATGTCCAATCAAAATGAATCCAGCAGAACTTGTGAGTGAAGAGAATGAACTGAGCAGATGTCGTAAATTATAGTCATGTAAGGTAGTAGCCGCTTCTGAAGGGACAGATGGGCAACCAGATATTTAGAATTGAGTTTTGGGGGGGAAGACATTTGCTTACAGATATGTAGAAAATGTTTGGTTGGGTTGTGTTCACAAATTGAAGCTATGATGGTAGAAACAACAGATAAAATGTGCCCTCTTTTCTCAAGTGTTCTGCCAACTTTAACACACCCCCAATGCCCATCACTCCATCTGCCATGTCATGTCTGGGTCTCGGGATTTCTCAAATCTAAGAAGGGCTTTACATAATTCAGGTAGTAAGGGAGGCAAGTGCGGGCAGAGTGCCTGATCGGAAAATACTCCCCTTAATGAAGTCTGTCGTCATTGTGGAGTGAAACACTTCAACAAGAATCTGGGCGGCCGCAGGTAATGTGAGCCCAGCATGGCCAGAAACACTTTCAACGAAGGAGTTGAGTAGAGTCACTTCATTAGATACATCTGCACAATCTAAGAGTGGGCGCCCTTTTGAGGTGTATGGATTTGACCCTTTCAGGGGCAGCGGTTACTGCAGTTGACAGCTTATCATGTTATCAGGTTACAGGGTGAATGAAAGGGTTAACAATACAGTACAGTTAAATGCCCCCAGAAGGTTCCAATTCTGTAAAATGCAGGTCTCAAACGTAAAACAAAACATAGCTTGATTATTTGACTGTGCATCATTTTTCATTCAACTGTTTTGCCTTGAGATATGAGTGACCCGACATAGTTTTTTTTTGAGATGCGAGCTGTCATTGGGCTGATTTAAAAATTTGAGATACAAGCGCTGTACTGTTTACAGCGGGCAGCAGCTTTGCAGATGATGAACAATTCTTCAAAAGAGGCCTCAAGCTGTTTGATGCCACCCCCAGTTGAAGTTCAGTCTCAAATTAAACATAAAACTAAGATACACATTGTAGAAAAACAAACAAACAAAAAATGTTAACAAACTTTGAAAGGCTACCGAATAGCATCTGCGTCAGGGTGTTATAACCTTCGACCCAACGAATATTTGAACAGGAACCGTAAACCAAAACACATAGACATTCTTCAAAAGAGGCCTCAAACTGTTTGATGCCACTCCCAGTTGAAGTTCAGTCTCAAACTAAACATAAAACTAAGATACACATTGTATAAAAACAAACAAACAAAAAATGCTAACAAACAATGCAAAAGAGCTTTAAAGGGCTATCGAACAGCATCTGTGTCAGGGTGTTATAACGTTCGACCCAACGGATATTTGAACAGGAACCGTAAACCAAAACACATAGACAGAAAATATAACAATATCAGAAGCATGTCTTATTTATCCTCTGCGTAGAAAGAGTACTATTACTGCAGCTTATTGAGGAGTGACCGTCTTGATGCAATCCTCCCTTTAATTATTTTATTACTGCATGTTTTCATAAAGTACAAGAATGGAGAGTGGTATTTTTCTCATTAAAGACACATTTTTGTTTTCATTTGGGGGGGGGGGGGGGCTGAAATGGATTTACGAGCGTCAACCCGGTTGTAATTTGATTTCAGAACCAGACTGCATATTTTGCTGCAATGAATACTGCTCAATTAAACTTAAAGAAAAGCTGCTCAGTTGTCATATGCTACTATAAAAATAAACACTGTTAAATTCATGCCAGTCAAAAGTGAGCATAATTTACCTTTGCAAAGGGAGATTTTTTTTTTTTTTTTGTATTGAATGTGATGAGATTGTGCGAGTGTACCAAACGAACTGGCCGGCGAGCGCATTTGCATACCTACTCTCTGTGTTGAGTTGAATTGTGTGAGTGGAAAGGAAACAAAAATATAGACATAATTACTTCACTTCTGGTGAACAAGAGAGGCACGTCAATCACAGGTCTCAAGAATATGTGCAAATACTCCACCAGGATGGCTGGAAAAAGAACGTCAGCTCGATGAATCCATGCACTCGATAAGAATTCTTAATGTGTTTTAATAGAAGCGATGTGCTACCTGCCGAATAGACAAGAGAAACAGGCAGGTTTATCAACGGCCGGCTGTAGCCCAATCTCTCAAACTGCAACAAAAAACAAGAAACCATAAGTCATCAATGCAATTCCATTAAAAAAAAAAGTGTGCACATTTTTAGATAAGTCTGAGAGCTTTTCTATTTCTGTTGTCGTCAACAGTGCGTCCTCCCAGCTGTGCTTTTGGGAAAATGGATTTTCAACAACAGGTTATTTTTAGCAAATATACACAAACACAAGAACATTGCGAATCTGTTGGTGACCATTTTCCCCTTCTGGTTTTATAATCGCAGCAGGGCTCAAAACAAGCTGCATTGGCCATACTCAAATAATTACCAAAATTATAATAATGGCGTGATTATGTATAAAAAAAAAAAAAACACTGGAAAGGCCAATTAGTGGCCCCTACATTGTCTGCACCATAGTGTAAATTGTCAAAGTCATTTTACAATATTTTGGGATGCCAAGAAAAAATAAATTTCGAACACACACACTGGTATTTTTTTTTAATTGATATTGTAACAAAAACTTCAACCAGATGAGTGAATAAGGAAGTGAAAGAAAAAAGACTGAATAAGAAATAACAACATGTGCTTTCAAAAATTGTGTTTTTTTTTCTTGTTTTCCAAAAAATATTGAAAAATGATTTTGGCTATTGTGCAATGTGGTCGACCACATGAAACATTGGAAAACATTTAGGAACTCACAAGAGGTGTTAACCACACAAAGAGGTTCACTGAAAGTCCATCGTTGATGAAATAGGCCTGTCCACTCTAGAAAAGAAGAAAAAAAAAAACACCAACAACTGTGAAGAAAGGATTTGGGACAGAATTTCCTGAAAGAACAAAGACACAATACGATTTGGTTTGATCTGATGCGGTGCGGTAAATGTAATATGACATGATGCAATATGACACGGTGTACTGTAATACTATGCAAGACCATGCAATCCAATGACATAACATAACATAACATTCAATATGCTGAGTGCATTGTTTTCCATTGCGATATTACATGCGGAGATGCCATAAAGTAATATTTGGACCCTTATGATCCGTGATGATCCTATCTTGTACGACGACCTAAATTACAATGTCATGTGATATGCCGCGATACGATACGATAAGACAATACCATACGATAACATCCATCCATCCATCCATTTTCTGATCCGCTTAATCCTCACAAGGGTCGCGGGGGGTGCTGAAGCCTATCCCAGCTGTCTTTGGGCAACAGGTGGGGGGCACCCTGAACTGGTTGCCAGTCGCAGGGCACACATAGATGAACAAGCATCCGCGTTCACACTCATACCGAGGGACAATTTGGAGTGCTCAATCAGCCTGCCATGCATGTTTATGGAATGTGGGAGGAAACCGGAGTACCCGGAGAAAACCCACGCAGGCACGGGTAGAATATGCAAACTCCACACAGGAAGGCCGGAGTTGGAATCGAACTCGGTACCTCTGCACTGTGAGGTCGACGTGCTACTAGTCGCCCACCGGGCGATAACATAACATACAATAACATAAGGTGTGATGCCATGAACGCAATATGACACGATGCTGTAAAGCAGGGGTGTCAAACTCATTTTTGTCGCGGGCCACATTGTACTTACGGTTTCCCTTGGTGGGCCGTAATGAATTTTGGGAAACCATATCAATGTTTAATCACAGCGCACAACAAATTGATGGATAACTAGTTTTAAAAACAGAAGTCAAGAATAATGACTGTTATTGTGGATTACATGTGACAATTTGAAATTTGGGTTCAGACTTTAGCAAGCATCATGGAACTTGACATGTTTGATTTGCTTTCACGGGCCACATAAAATGATATGGCGGGCCAGATCTGGCCCCTGGGCCTTGACTTTGACACCTGTGCTGTAAAGTAACATACAGTTAGACGCAGTGCCATACAATAATATTTGAAATGCGATATTACCATCGCATCATCTATGATCACGTGGCTCAGCAACAGAGTCGTGGTCTCGCAACTCAGAGGTTGCATTGAGATAGCATATGAACCGTTGTGGACACACTCACAGCGACGCAGCTCTTCTTCATGGTGAGAGCCTCCGCGGCTAACGTGTGGGCCAGCACCAGGTTGTCCACGTGCACCCAGTTCATCCTGGCCCGCCGATCGCCGAATCGGAAACTGAAAAAGCGACGCTCCACGTTCACCTGACAACCCACAAAGATTGACTGGTTAACATTTAGGTTAACATTCCCACATAAAAAAAACTCCATGATGCAGTTTTAGTGCATTTTGGTATCATTAAGTTGGAGTAATTATAAACCTTGAAACAATAGATACACCAAAAAAAGATATATTAAAAAATAAATAAAATACTGCAATATATGTGTGTGTGTGGGGGGGGGGCAAAACATCATTCAACAGTAATGTATGCATGCAAGCTATTCGAGGCCAGCTTGTGTCTGATTAAAGTCAAGTCAAATCTATTTCACTGTTCGCTGTATTCAAAAACTCAAGTTTCGTAGCCACCTGACAAACAATAAATGTTGAATGCTTCCCGACTGCCCCACAGAGGAAACACTGGAAGAATGGCGGAGCGTAACCGGAGCGCGCCATGAATGATGCAAACACTGCTGTCGGTAACACATTCCGCCAGGAGACGTACACAAGGACGTGCTGTGTACTTTGGTGGGTTGAATATTATGTGTGTGTGCATGTTCCTCACCATCACCCTGTGTAGGTGTCGGCGCTCTCCGGGGCCGTAGATGCCGCAAGGCCGCAGGACACAAGTTCTCATCACACCGCCGCCTACGCAGCACACAAAACAAAACACGGACGTGAGGCTTGTCAAATGTTATGTATTTCACGTTTTACACATTTTGTTATGTTGCGGTCTTATTCTAAATTGGTATTGATTTGTTTTCCCTCTCAAAATTCGATACACAACACCCCATAATGACAAGATGAAAGCTTCAGGACGACATTGTGAATGTCCTTGAGTGGCCCAGACTGGAATCTGATCTCTGGAGACATTTGAAAGTGCTTGTTTACCAACGCTCTCCATCCAACTCGATGGAGCTTAAGAGGTGCTGCAAAAGAGGAATTAGCCAAATAGCCTTTTAAAGACAGGTGTGACAAGCTCGTGATCATATTTACAAAAAGAATTCAAGCTACAGTTACAGCTGCCTTTGCTACTTTTCTTCCCGACACCATCGTGCAAAAAGTCTGTTCTGTTTGAACTCTAATTTTGATACTACAAGGCCATTTGGACCCTATGTGAGACTGAAAGAATTTTCCATCTATTTCAGTTGGGGTGGAATTAATTACATTAATTTTGAAATTAGGAAACAACAAAACATGGGGGGAAAAAAGGAAAGCGCTGTCAGAAATTTCCGGGTACCAGTGTAAACCACATATTCCTGGTTCGAAATGAGTGAATTCAAGTTTTCGCAGATTTTGAATTTTTTTTAAAACTATCCTCCCTTGTTTTCCAAAATAAGTCGTTTTGTGTTCAATTAACCCTTTCAGGGACAGCGGTTACTACAGTGAACAGCTTATCATGTTATCAGGTTACATGGCCGCATAAAAAGGTTTAAACAGGCCAAGGTTTTACATAGAGGAAGTGAATGGGTGTCAATTGAGGCAAGATAATCATAATTTTTGTGTGGTGGTGCGCCGTGAGATTTTTCTGATGCAAAATACGCTCCTATTGGCTCAACAAACAGTGGGACGAGACTGGAGAATGCACCTTTGTATGACGCTTTCAGGTCAGTGCAGTGAGGGGAAAAAGAAAAAAGTGAACTCCCACAGGCTGCCGCGCGATCTTTAACCCTGCGTCTATAATGATAAGGTTTAAAGCATCAATGAATATATGAACCCTTTCAGGGACAGTGGACAGCTTATCAGGTTACAGCGGGCATGAAAGGGTTAAGGAGGCGGCTGCTGATATGGTGTCGGGTCACCAAGCATTCAAGAGGGGAGGCCTCACACCTGTTGATGGCAACGAGGTGTAACATCAGGGGCTTTGGAATGCCAAGTATACACGCTTCCTCTCCTCGTTCATCTATAACTGCTTCAAGCGACAAAGAGTATGCAGAAAAGTGGTTAAGATTGAATGACTGTCTGTGTCTTATGTGTTGTATTATTTTGTTATTATGACTTCAAGATGGCGCCGTGAGAGTGGCTGCCTTTACAGCAGCTCCTATACTTTTTGTTCTACTTTCTTCCTTTCATAACTTGTTGCCGTAAATTGGGAATTTCGCCATTGTGAGACGAATAAAGGTTTTCTTATTCTAGTCACAACACCCACACCATGTAATAAACAAAAAAAAAAATGGACTTTCCAAATATAGCGATGCTCCGCTGTGTTGATAGCGATGCATTACTGAGGTAGTTGGAGAGCTGGGATAGGCTCCAGCTCACCCACAATACTCATGAAAAGAAGAGCCACAGAAAAATAAATGGAAGGTACATTTTGTTTCAAGATTGTCATGTTTCCACGGCAACTGTGGCATCGCATACCGTTGAGAGAGCATCCGTTGGCGGAGAGGACCATCTGCTCCGCGATAGCTTTCGTCCTTGAGTAGTGATCAATGTGCTGAAGCATACAAGAATGGACTTAGAAACACCGTCGTCTGACTTTAGCCACGCTGAGTATTTTTTACTGACCACTGCGGGGGCCACGCAGGGGACGGATGCCTCGTCGCCATCCTCGATGGGCTCCCCTGCGAATACTGCATTGGTGGTGCTGGTGTATACCAGCCGGGGGATGCTCCTTTCTTTGCACACTTTACCCCCCCCCCAAAAAAAAAAAGTCAACAAACTATCACGCATCATCACCATGTTACTTTGCACTCCAATGCATTCTCACCATTTATGACATTATTGGTCCCACCCACGTTGATGGACTCCACCTGCTCTTTCCTCAGCTGGGAACAAATATGAAGACATTTTTTTTTTTTTTTAAACTTTACAGACACATTTAAAAGAATGTAAAGAATTATACCGGTTTACTTTTTATTTTGCTTCAATTCAATAGACATTGTGCTGCTCCTTCTCCTGCGTGTGTGTGATTTTGCCGCATTGGGATAGTATAGTCTCGACCAGTGGTGTCCGAACTATGGCTCGGGGGCCCTTTGCCGCCCGCCATCTATTTTTCAGCGGCCCACAACATGACCCTCCCCCCCCCCAAAAAAAAACAACAAAAAAACGTAATACATGTACTAAAAAGGACATTTGGTTAAAAAGGTTAAAGGTTAGAAAAGGTGTAGGTGGGTAGAGTGAGAAGGGAGGGTATCAGAAAAATAGGTGTCAGTACTATGAATGAATTGGTTTATATACTATAGAACTTTTCTCTATATTTGAAGATACAAATAAACCATTTATGATTCAAAGAATCTTCCAAACACTGTGACGAATCAAGATAATCCAATTTTAGAGGGGAAAAAAAATATTTTCCTCCACTTTGTGCTCGATGGCTGATATATAAAGACATCACATTAATGATCCTCAACCAACTGTTTGAAAATGGTCCCTGTACTACATTTTCCTCTTTTTTTGGTTCTGAATGTGGAGATGGGATGCGGCTGCTGTTAAGTGCAGAGCTGCATCTACTCTGTCAGATAGAGGGCTGTTGGCCACCCCAGAAACCGATGATGATGATGTCCATGATGAATTCACCTGTTCGGGGCCAGACATGCCGTAAGATGCCGAATGGAACACACAGTCAACCCCATCACAAATGTTGTAGAGTGATGAATAATCCCGGATGTCGCTCTGCCAGAACAAGAGAGGAACAGTAGCCTTGGGGTGATTCATGTTCACCTACAGTCACCATAGAGGAAATCCAGGCAAACTCCAAATGTGGTCCCAATTTCAGATGTGTCGGAGTTTTCAGCATGTAAGATTAATTCCACAGGTTTTCGGGTTAGTGTGATTTGTTCTTCTTGTACTAGTGTGCATATTTGTTTGCCCTTTTGTGATTTCACATCAGTTTGTGCTAGCGTTTTATTTCGGCTAGTATGCCAGCTAATACTATTGATGAGCCTCATTTGAAGGTGATCTGTTTGTGTTGAATAACTTAACTACTGTACGCATGAGTAAATGACGCTTCCTCGTGTAGCGTTCCATTGTGTACAGACGTGTTCAATAAATATATATATATTTTTTAAAAGAGCGTGGTTTCGGTTTTCGAACAAATCGGTTTTCGAACAGCCTTCTGGAACGGATTATGGCCGAAAACCGAGGTATGACCATACTTTTAAACAAGGCGGTATCAAATATGTAAAAATTTAATGTAGTATAAAAATGGTTCTCAAAAGAGTCCACATACAGGTAATTAACCCTATAACCCAATAACATGATCAGCTGTCCACTGTAGTAACCGCTTTCCCTGAAAGGGTTAAAGCAGGGGTGCCCAAACTTTTTTGACCGAAGATCTACTTTTCGATCAACCAACCTCCCGCGATCGACCCGTTACACATACGCACGCAGACGCGCGCAGGTACACACGCGTGCCATGATAAGCAACAGCCTCACGCTGAAGCATGCGACGCACTTAGGCAGCCTGTTAATGATCGTAGCTCACGCGTACCGTTTTAAAATGCTTCTCTCGGACCTCCAGATTCCCATTCTTTGCCCGTGCCCTCGGTGAATTGTCCAAAACAAATTCTGAATGAGAATAATGATAACGATAAAAGATGAGCGGAACAACTTTGATCACAAGCTGCAACTGCAGACTGCTGAGCGCTAACAACTTCCAGTGACACGGTCAAGCCACCATAGGTTAAAGATGACCCGCTTTATTTTCTTTTCTTTTTAAAATACTTTTTGTGAAAGTGATACTGATAGAATAATTAGGCTGCAGTGTGCATTAACATAAAAAATATATTACTAAGATGAACAGAGACACAAATGTTTGTTTGTTTTTTTCCTCTACACCCCTTGTGATCGACTTGGGACCAGTCGGCGATCTACGGGTCGATCGCGATCGACGTAATGGGCACCCCTGGGTTAAGGTTTTATGAAGGTGAGTTGATTCAGCTGACAGGATTTCCTATGGGGAACAATGATGTTTCAAACGTGTTCAACGGTGGCACTTGGCTAATTGAAAAGAGAAAACAAGCGTCGGGGAAGTAGCACAAGGACTGCCCTGTGGAAAAAGAAATGACTGTAATTAGCCTAAGTGCGCCATGAAGCGGGCAGGTGTAACCTGAATCATGTCGTCTGACCGCTGTGGCCCGGTCAGCAGCTGGTTGGCTCTTTGAGGAGCATGGATCACTCGCCTAAGCGTCTCTTTGCAGCGGACGGACAGCACAGTTAAGAGGCCCGCTGACGGAATCTTGACGCAAGGGGCCCGCGTAAGAGGCTTGAGTTGCACGCCTCCAACGTCAGAACTTTTTACTTTTACTCCTGACGTTTGAAAATAAATATGTGTACTTTCTAGTTCATGCCTTCTCAAAATAGGCTTCATCGTTTTTTTTCCCCCCTCTGCAGATGATGACAGATGTCATTAAAAAAAAAAAAACTTGAATGGAGAGCGGTAAAGTCAACCACGGTTGAGATCTTAGGGTCTTCTTGGGTGGGAAAACAACAGGGACAGCAGCGACAATGTCACAATAGATTCAAAGAAGCAAGATCTTCACACGACTGATCTGAATGACATTTGCAGTGGGACAGCAAAGTCTTGGACGTTTTATCTTTATAGTCTGTCTTGTTTTTTGTGGAAGCAACATTGCTACGATGACCTTTTGAACAACTCCATTTAAATGGAGGTGTAGGTTGCGCAATTGTAGCCAGAAGTTGAGCTGCAGTGCATTTGTTTGCCGACTAGGCATGAGGCAAGAGCAGTGGCTCTTAACCTGGGTTCGATCAAACTGTAGGGGTTCGGTGAATCGGTCTCAGGGGTTCGACGGAGCCTCTGTCACGGACGTTAAGACACACCGGACTTAACATGTCAATTAGTTATGACACGCCCGCTGCAGATGATCACATTCCATTGCTTGTCCGATCAGTGCTGTGGGAAATTTAATTCGCTTTGTCGTCAACATGTGACTGTCGTGATAGTACATCGTTCAATTTTTTTTAAAAAAGCATACTTATCCCTTGAAATTTTATTTACTTTTTTCTGTTTTTAATAAATGTGTTTTTTTAAATATATCTTGAATTTGTAAAAAAATATATACATATTTATTTTTCACAAATTAAGGGTTCGGTGAATGTGCATATTAACTGGTTGGGTTCGGTATCTCTAAGAAAGTTAAGACCCACTGGGCTAGAGTCATAGGCAGTTGGATGTCTTGTCCCATTTCCTCCTATATTCTGTGTGGCAACCCTACAATAAATGCCTCTGGACTTGTTTAAAAATGCTATTTTATTGCCAATTTTAAACGTATGTCAAGAAAAAAAAATGATGGCAAGCTTTCAGAGGCTATGTACAATGTCGTGGACACCCAGATCCAGCCAGCAGGTCTTGTGTTTAACACCTGTGGTATATATTGTACCTGATAGAAGAGCGCTTCGTCAGGGATTTCCCATGAAGGTTTGTTGATGTCCAGGAGGATCACAGACATCCCCTGAGCAGCCAGCGCCCTCCCCAGCCTGAAGCCGAAGTATCCTCCACCTCCGGTTACCAGCACTGTCCGAGAAGACGAGCCCAACTGGCCCGTTTTGGAGGGCTCGCACTCCATGCTGCCACAGCGGGAGGCCGCAGCTCCGCTCGGCCGCCGCCGGAGGGCCGGGGCCACCTGGTTGACCCGGTATGGGTGGGTGTGAGGCGAGAGGTTGTGCAGGGGCTGCCCGCTGGCCTGGAGGCGGCAAAGGGAAATGCCGTGGCAGGGAAGCTGCTTCACCTGGCAGAGGGAGCCTCCGCCCTTGCTCATGTTGGGACCGCACAGCTCCATTAACGCCCTGGATGAGGTGGGAATTAATTCATCAGGGTTTGAATTTATTTTTTCTTTTCTTCACTTATTCCACAGGAGGAAAACTATTTAATCCAGAATTCATGGACCACATCAAAATGTGAATAATATGATTATCATGCATTACCTTTTTACAGCTGGATTACACAAAAAACAATGTACACAGAAAACATTTCAAAATATGAGGGGAATATTATAAAAAAAGATTGTCATGTTGTAATATGATTTGTTAATCAACAATGTTACGATTACTTTATTTTGTACCTAACCATATTTTTCAAACATATTAGTAGTTTTCCTTACTATTATGTAGCTTTACTATATTTATGGATTTTACAAGATATGATAAGACAAAAATAAATAATTAGACCTCCTGCATTGTTCCTCAAGGGGAAATTCAGGGGTTACAGCAGTTAAAAAAATGAAAGAACAAATAAATAAAATACATGAATAAATAAATTATTTCTTTTGAAAGAAAATATGATTGAAAAACAGAGCAAGGAGGATTACAGTCAAACACATTTAGGCCAAATTGTCACAATATATATTCTTAATATATATATATACTTCATAAATGTCAGATAAAGATTATATGTCTAATATACATGATTTAAAATACGGTATAGTTAATATTATTATTACAATTGTTCTAGTATTTCAATTATTACCTTTTTGTATTTATAATGAAAATATACCTTTAATTTACATTATGTATTTTTTTTGTTACTTTATGGAGCTACATGAGTCAGGAAAAAGTAATTAGAATTCTCATATCATATAAAAAATGGCAAAGATATAGTCAAATTCAATGTGCAAGCGATATTTTTCCCAAATTCACAAAAGTAAACTTTACTATTATCATCATTACAAATGCAGTGAAAATGTACAGAAATGAACAGAGAATTTATCATTTTTGTACTGCCAAAGAATGATATTTTCTCATAACCCCACAAATCAACAAAAATATACAGGAATAACTTTTTAACAACCCATCGTGTTGAAAATGTTCAAAAACATATCAACACAAGCTTTTTTCTCATTTTTAAGAAATGAATTAGCTTACCTCTTTGCTAATGCAGTGCTCCACTCCCACCCATACTTCAGGACATGCAGGTGGCCTGAAAAAGATGCACAGTCTTGTGCTGTGACCTGGAAGGCCCGCCCCTCCACCTGCACCTGCACAATCTGCTACCGTAATGCAAGATCACGCCGATCCTGTCATGAAAAAAAGAGATGTGTGCTGTTTGTGGGAGCAATTTCCTCTGGAGCACCAGGAAAAAAAATCTGAACAATCTCAAATGACTCAGCGCGCCCATCACATTTGGCACATTCAAATGAAAATGCATCTTAATAAAGTTCAGGTGTTTTGCATGAAATCCCCAACTTCAAATTGGTTCCACGACAATAATAATTAGCAAGTTGTCATGCCTGCCAAATCCATTAAAATAGTCCAACTCATTAGTTCCATCGATGGTGCTTTGACTTCACTGAAAGTGTTAAAAATCTTGGTAGAACTGCAGAGAAGGTGTTCTCCCAAACTAACAAAGAGATCCCTTTTGAGAAGCCTCAAAAGGTCAAACTGTTAAATGATGTAAACGTGACATGGCAGCAGGTGGGCAGCAGCAGGGCTCTCTTCCAGTGCGCTTTGTCGTTCAAGAGAATGAAATCGGAGTCGTCATCCTTCATTGAGAAGACAGAAAAGCCAATAACTTTAGTTGACTATGAAAGCCGTGGAAACACTCAAGTGAGTAGTGAGCCTTCCATCCATCCATCTCAAGAAAAAAGCTCATGATCCAAAGCATACCACATGACCAATGTCTATCTGTCTCTCGATCTAAGGCAGCTATCCATCCATCCCAGAGAAAACCCACGCAGGTACGGGGAGAACATGCAAACTACACACAGGAAGGCTGGGGCCCGGAATCACACCTTGGACCTCTATGCTGCGAGGCAGACATGCTAAGCGGTCAAACGCAGTGCTGACCTATCAAAGCTATTTATCTATTGAAACTACCTGGCTAGGGCCATACATTAAGTTTCATTGAGCGGTGGCTTGCCAAAAGCGGCACTGGCCCTGTATATTTATGATAAATAGCCTCCTGACTACCAGGGAAAAAAATGTTGTCCAATCACATTTATTTTGAAATTCCCCAATCTATGTGAAGTAATTGGACTACTCCAAAAGAAATTTTTGAAATTCCACTACATTTTTAAACACTTGAATACAAGCCTCAAATACACTTAAAACAACTCAAACAACACTTTAACGTGTTCATAAGAGTCTTATAAACAAAATGCCAACAGCATTTCAAGACAAAATGTTTTTGATAAAAAGTATTACTTTTCCTCTTCCCATACAAAGTGCTTGTACTGAGGGAAGCCATTTTCTTACTTTTTCTAACCCCTACACATTTGGTATCATTGGAAAGCACTGAATGTCCTCTTTAGAGTAACAAAAGGAGTTAATGCGATTGGATGCACTGAGTGGGAGATATTTAGGTTTACAAATGTCCTCTACAGAGGACAAATTTGAACTACTGGTAGTCAGGAGGATTGGATAAGTTAGGTCATATTAAGCATACAACGTACTTATACCTTATTATTTAAGCCTTTGAGAAAATAGTACAGGTAGTTTGGCGTAGTTACTTTTTTGTGCATATATTGTCCATTATAGTTCTTGGTGATGGATGGATAGTGGTGTGTGTGTGTGCGTGTGTGTGTGTAGGTGTGTGAGACACTCAATAAATGATGCCTTGCAGACTCATCAGTCAATCAGTGGTCAGGGGAGCTGTAACCTTGTCGAACCTGCCATGCAAGCAAAGATGGAGGAAAGTGGTGGGGGCCACGCTGCCGTTAGACAATTGCCAACAGATCATACAGAAGAAAATATAACACAGATTCAAACATGTTTTGTGGCGGGGGGGATTTCTAATTATAGTACATCCAATAATGTCCAATTCCTAACTGCAGGGGGCGCCACATAACTACAATGACGACGAGCCACAAATTTATCAGCCCATGAGAGCGGGTCAGGTTCAAAGTTCCATTACAGTGGTGATTAAAAATGTTTTAAGAATTAAACATGGATTTAGTTACAGTCAATCAGGAATAAATGAATTCACTCGAGATTAGTTCTGAAGGGAAACGTTTCTCGACAATTGGAGCACCTTGAAAGTGACGACAGCAGAAATCTGAGCTTTTCCTTTGGCTTGTGCGAATAGGTTTTGAATCTTTAAATCAGCATTCAGTGTGGGTTCATGGAGTGATGATGTCAAGCAGGACTGATGGCAGCGGCAAGGGCAGACGGAGGAGAAACTGTGACAGATAAATTGCCAAGAAAAGCTGTCACCCCCCCCCCCCCCCCCCCCCCCAAAAAAAAAA